TAAAAACAGTGTTTGATAATAATTTCAGTACATGTAAAAATAAAAAAACTAGTATATCTGTCATCAATTTGCATTAATTAAAACTCCTAGCTACAACTATAATAAAAACAGCAAGTTCACAGTTTCAAAGCTTTTGATTGGCTAAAAATATATTTTAAACACCTCTCCACCTATATGAAAAAGCAAAAATAGAAAACAGAAACCTTTTACTTTTCTGGTAACTGTAATTTGATGTCAATGATGTCAATAAACTCTCAGCTAGATTAGTATGAATCTAAAAACACCCTCCTGTCCTGATAAATGATAACACCCTCATTTGATGTGTGATGTTCTTAGCCCAGGGAGTAGAACCGGTGACTTTTCCCCTCTGGCACGCCACCTTTCGCCACTCCATTCCCCCTCATCAGGGGCATTTCCTCCAACATCTGGTAGGCTGGACGATGTCTGGCATTCATCCTGTTGAGGGACCACAATGCTCGCTTGACACTTCTGAGGAGAAGGGCACACAAACAACGCAAAACAACAGCAAACACAACAGGCAGATTTCATTAGCAGGGTTATACTTATCTGACACCCCTCCGAGAACGTTGATCACAAACGCACACAGGTGACCCCTCATCCAGAGACACTGCTCGAGTGAGTGTTCACACTTCCTGGAGCTTCTCCGGCTGGAATAACCTGAACAGGTGATAAGAGATACAACAGCACATGGCCCCGCCCAGTTGGCAGCCAGCCAGAGGAAACAGAGTTCATCATTCTATCCCTGTTAAGTTTTTCTGAATTGAGCCATCACAATCATTTAGCGTTTCATCAGCAACACTTTGTTTTTCTCTTTTCTCTATGTGCCAAATTTTACATGTCATCAGTAAGCAGTATGCAACATTACTCTGAAAATGAGATGTCTTAAATCATGTTAGTAGTTGTTAAAATTCATTATTATATTTTCTGTTAGTATCCGTTAAAAAATAAGTTAAAAATAATGTATCCCAACTCTGTTAGCACTTGTAAAAATCTTACCTGAGATGAAACACTGCTATAGATTTGATTTAATCTGTCTTTAACTCTGTCACTGAACATTTTAAGTGATTTAGAAGTCAAATATCCCGCAAAGTTATTGCTCATTTTATTTTATACAATATTCCAGTTGAATTTATTATCCAAAACAACCTCTAAAATTTTGCTAATCTACATTATAGAAGAATCAATTGTCGTTACTTCAAATAATGAATTGTGTCATTCCTGATTATTTCTCTATATCTCCTCTAAATTATACCCAAAACAAAATAAATTTGTATCTCACAGAGACATTTGTAGTGTTAATTTTCCATCTGCACTAATCGTACCCCATTACTCAAAATAACCAATCTACCCCCAATATGAATCCTACCTAAACACCATAAATTTAGAAAATAAATGTAATTTACAATGTAAAACTTTTCCATAAAGCAACAAACATCACTACTATATACTGCTTCTGTAATCTGTAATTGTTTAATTTAATCCTATTATTGCCAGGGATGATGATTTATTTGAAATCCTTCCTGCCCACAGCCATCAGCATCTGTAACAACTCATTAATGAAACCAGGATGATGAGTTACCACAACATATAATTTCCCTCTGGGATTAATAAAGTATTTTTGAATTGAATTGAAATCATCATTTGATGATTGACTGTTACCCACCAAATATTGCTCTCAACATAACTATCTCATTTTTGAACAAACCCAATTTTAAGCAGTTGGTACCCCTGGAGGACCACTGATATCATTCGGCATTGTCAAACCCACGTCTACCATCAACTGTAAATATTGGAATAACTTTTGTTAATTACACATTTCTTCAAATGTCACTCTGGACTGATACATTATGAATATATGTAGAGGGATATGTTCAAAGCTATTTTGCTCCACTAAACCATACTCATTCTGGGACACTCCCCTGTTTGTTCCATCTGCCTGATTTAGGTCCTCAATTCTCTATCTGGGAACACCTGTAGAGGAGGGAGGGTGTGTGTGTGTGTGTGTGGGGGGATTTACTTTACAGCCATCTATCCATGCCGTTTTACTAATGGCGTTATAGTTAACAGTACTAAAAAGCAGTCACAGTAGTTTTTCCAGTTCAGCACTGCTCCAGAGACCCGTGAAGGGTTTTAATATTGTTCAAGACATAAAAGTCAAATCATTAAAATAAACGGGGGGCTTCAAACCTTCAGTCACGCCGTTTATTTAATTTTATTTATAATCAAACTAAAGTTTATGTACAGGGTTTTAAATCAACCGAACGATTCTTTTTTGGGGGGGAAGAATTAGCGTTTTGCGTGTTTATAAGGCTCTCGGACCACTTCTGGTTAGCGATGTTGCTAACGTTTCCGTCCCACTCCCCCGTGCGCCGCAGCGAAAGAGAGAGAGAGAAAAAAAAAAACACATGTATAAACTTTTACGTCTGATAATGACATTTTCGAAATCACATATTATACCGTAACGTTCTACAGCCTTTCAGTTCACTAAACTGCGAGCACAGGACTGAAAACAGAGCAGCCTGTCAGTGCTTAAGAGACACGCAGAAATTTGATTTAACAGGTTTCCTGCTTACCTCATGAGATGTTAATAGTCGGCTCGTACAGTCCACGCAGACTCGGTTACTTGCCGCTGTGTCACCATTAAACAATAAGAAACGAGCTACCACTTCTAAAGATGGGAGACCGGCGTTATAGTACCAAGCTGTTACAACAGGAGCTGACTGCGAGCCTCGAGCCACTGCAGCCAGCTATTGCTAGCCGTGGGCCTCAAGTTTCTTCTCGGACCCCAGGTCCACCCCCAGCTCACGCTGTCCCCCCGGCTTGGACGTCCCTCAGAAGCGGCAACTCACACTATTAATAAATCAAGGAAACGTGAATTCAGTTTTATCAGTTATATTAAATCAAGGCAGGAGAAGGTTACAGTTTACAGTGTTGGCCAGTCTGTTATACGACGCGAGATCAGGAACAGGAAGGGCCGGATCTCCCGTGATCTCCCACAACATGGCAAAACAGTTTGAACTCTGCTCCATTGCTGTGAGCCTTCCTGCCCTTCCACTTGGTCTCTTGGACACATAAAACATCTACCTTCCTTCTCTGCATCATGTCAGCCAGCTCTCTATTTTTGCCTGTCATTGTCCCACATTTAGAGTTGTCACCCTCAGTCCTACATTCTTGAATTCCCTCTTCTCCCTCTGCTTCTTGTTGCTCACTAAAATAGTTATTGAATTGTGTTCACAAATGTAGGTAAACGTAGATGTTTAACAACTCTTAAAATACACCTGAATGCAGGAAATTGCATCTTTACTCAAAAAAATTGGGCGGACAATGTAGTTAAAATGTGGTTACATCATAAAGCACACTTTTGAAAAATAAAAAAAGAGGGGGGGAGTTCACAGGGCCCTAAAATATAGCTATTAGATAATTTTCATTCAAGGTAATCCAGTTTATTTAGGTGCTATTACTGCAATGTTTCCAAACACAGTTATTAATGACTTTTAATAATTGTGATCATGATTTTATTCTATAATCAAGCAGTCTGTCCAACATTTTAGAATGAGTGAATTTGTGGTAGTTTGTTTGTGTAGTTTTAAAGCCTTCTGCAAAAACTTATAAATATTCACTGCATATTTTATTGCTTTGTTTTAGGTCTAATATATTCATGTCTAAACTGGTCTTAGACACCACAATACAGTTGGATAAATGTATTAATGCTAAATCTTAACTTATTATAGTATAAGGGTGTACACATGAACAACAACCTCAGCTGGAGCAACAACACCACCAGCCTGATCAAGAAAGCTCATCAGAGACTCTACTTCCTCAGACGACTGAGGCGAGCTGGTCTGGGAAGCTCAGTCCTCACCTCCTTCTACAGGTGTGCAGTGGAGAGCATCCTGTGCTCCAGCATCAACGTGTGGCATGGAGGCTGCACAGCTGCAGAAAGAAAAGCTTTGCAGAGAGTGGTGAAGGCTGCACAGAAGATGTTGGAGTCAGTCTCCCCACCATCACAGACATCTACACCTCCAGATGCAGGAAGAGGGCCACCTGCATCATGAAGGACCCCACTCACCCAGCACACACACTTTTTGCCCCACTCCCCTCAGGAAGGAGGTTAAGGAGCATTAAGTGTAGAACCACTAGACTGAGGAACAGCTTCTACCCTGAGGCTGTTAGACTCATGAATCTCTAACTAGAATAATCACTGTGAAAAACCATATCATGTTGCTGCTGATCTGTTTCATGTTGCTGCTGATCTGTTTTAATGTTGATGTGTTCATGCGTGCACATCTGCTCACATACTCATGTTCATGTTTGTGCTGATGTTCAATGTTTTATGTTATGAGTGCTTAGTGTATATTTAGTTGATGTTTTTCTTAGTTCATATCTTAGATGTTATTACTGTTTTTCTTATACATTTTATTGTTGGATGTAACTGGGACCCTGCGTACATAATTTCGCTCCACCACATGTACCACATGAGGTGCGAATGACAATAAAGAAACTCTGACTCTGACTCTATATGTATTATGTCTTTTTATGTGTTATGTGGTAGGTTTGATGGCTCAATTCGTGCCCTGTCTAGAACATGGTGTGAGAATCTTTTTTAGACCGTCTCTCCTCATGTTTTCTTCCCTTTTCTCATCTAAGCAAAATATTATTCTGAAGAATAAGAGGGCCGTGCAGCAGCTTCATGCACTATGTCCATATTTCGGACGACTGTACTACAAAGATAATAAAGCTTATTCTGATTATTGCCTATTCATATCCACCTAAAACTTCTTCCTCTTAACCAACATTCTTCCAAAACCCCTCTTTGTTGGATGTCTGTCTTTATCCAACAGGCCATTTCATTTTCAGCAGTTTGTGATCATTTCCCAGGTTTGAGCACGAGTCTCTTCCTGTTTGCTGCTGAGCCACACCTGACCCTAATTAGTCCTGATGGCGGCGCGTGCAGCTCATCTATTTAAATAGTTACCCACACCGGGACGGTTAAACAAAATGGCAACATATGGAGAGGAGCCAGTAGACAGCTGCTTCTACTCATCGTACAACCCTTACAGATACAGGGCCAGAGACCCGGGCTGGAAATATAAAAACTACTTCTCCCACTATGGAGACTCGTCTGACGCCTTCAACAACCACCAGCGCGCCCAGCTCAAGTCCATTTTATCCCAGATCAACCCCAAACTCACGCCGAGGCTGAGGAAGGACAACACCAAGGATGTGTCTGTGCAAGTCAACCCGAAGAGGGACGCCTCGGTGCAGTGCTCCATCGGGCCCCGGACCCTGCAGGCCATGAAGCGGGACCTCCAGCGCAAGAGGAGGCCGGAGCCCGAGACGCCCAGCAGCCCCAAGACGGCGGGGGGTGTGCGTTACCCGCGCACGCTCGCCGTGTACTCCCCTATAGCTTACCGGAGCGTCACGTCCTTCTTGGTTGAAGACTGTGACGGTAAAGAGGTGGACCATTCAGCCGCGGAGTCCCTGCAGACCGCCGAGGACAAGGAAGAAGACACCCAGGCTGTCCAGGACGAGGACACCGAACAGGACCACGAGTCCAAACCGCACGTGAAGGGAGAAGACGCGCAGCCGGCAGAGGAGATCAAAGGCAAGGCGCGCGTGCGCTTCCAGGTGAGATGACGGGCGCGCGGGGTCAGACTGGGTGAACCCTAAATGTTGGCTCAGGAATCTGTTCTGGTTTTAAGCGGCGTGTTTTACAGTTTTCTCAAACTCGTGATTTGACCGCTTTAAGCTGAGGAGCTTGATTCTGTCACCAAGCCTAAACAAACTGATCTTTAGTTCCTGGAGCAGAAGTATGGATATTATCACTGCAGAGAGTGCAACCTGCGGTGGGAGAGCGCGTACGTGTGGTGCGTTCAGGGCACAAACAAGGTGAGGAACTTCAAGGTACACATGAGACTTGTTCTAAAGCTGTTGAAGAGCTGCTCCTTTCAAAATGCTGTGGTTGAGCTTCAGTGCAGCCTACACTGATCAGCTCTGCGTTTCTTTGTGCTGTTCCAGGTTTACTTCAAACAGTTCTGCAGGAAATGCCAGAAAAGTTTCAACCCATACCGTGTTGAAGACCTCACATGCTATGTAAGCCCTTCTTTCTCGCTGCCTCAACTTTAAATGCTACAATTGAAGTGCTGCTCTTGTTCTTCAGACTTGCAACAAAGCACGCTGCTGCTGTGCCTTAACGCAGCGGCACGTTGACCCCAAGCGACCCCACAGGCAGGACTTGTGTGGCAGATGCAAAGGCAAGCGTCTCTCCTGCGACAGCACATTCAGCTTCAAATACATCATCTGAGCCATCTCCTCAACTTGGCCCTGAACACAATCTGCACCAGCCCTGCTGGTCTCTTCAGCCTAACTGGGACCAGCAGGGGCAAAGTCAGTTTTTTTTTTTTTGATTCAGAACTTCCTTTTTTATGCCAGTTTTGTGTTGAGTCTTGGCACATCTTGTGCATAATAAATGGATTCCCTGCATTTGTCCTTGGTGTATTACTTTACTGTGTCTGTGCAGAAGCTTGAAGAACTTTGATCCAAATTTATAAAAATGTCTTGTTCTGCAGCTTGATCAAGAGTGAAGTGCCAGATTAAGAGTAGCCTTGAGGACAAATTTAAAAATGTTAAATGGAGCCATGCATGTAATGACTTTGAAAACTGACAAATCTGAATATTCAAAACTTTAATGAATTGATATAATTACCAAACTCAAATCTGTTTCAAAGTTGAGCTCAGTTCAGCAGAGTTAACATGCAGGAGGACCATCAGCGTAACGACCGATGGTTGGTGCCCTGTTGGCCATTTGCTATTCAGAGGGCTGAGTGATGCTAGCAGTAAGTGCATTAGAGGGACAGTTGGACACTAAGGCCTCGTCCCTTAATGGACGGGTTCTTTTCAAAGGCTTTTTTTTACTCTTTAAATATTTGTTCCCCTCTCCAGGATGTGAACATCTTCCTCCCTGAACAAGTGGGCGCTGGCCTGCAGAAATGTAAACCATAATACTGATCTTCTGTGCTGGGCCATCCTTTTGGCCAGTGGCTGTTAAGTTCCCCGATAGACTGATCACCCTCCTGACAATGAACGGCATACAATATTGTGCCAGGGAACCGGATCTAGTCTTTGCTGTAAAGTATTTTGAGCTTTGAAAGCCACCGAGACATGTTAAATGAATGTGTTTCTCTGAAACCACTGGTCTGGGGGTCCTCGCACGTGATGGCAGGCTGGAGTAACTTCATCGAAGCTTCCGGACTAGTATTAAAAGTGAAAGATCTTAAACTTCTGCTTCTTGCATAACACAATTGCATGTAATTTTTCAGTTAAAAAAAAAAAAAAAAAAAAAAAAACTGCTATAACTTTGTAGTCGGGGAGTGAGACATGTCATCATGGGGACCCTAAAACATTAAAGGCAGCTTTCGCATGAACACAGTTGCATTAAACGTTTGTACAGTAGCTGTATTTATACCTTAGTTTTAAAACTTCCCTGCAATGTGAAGCTGCAGGTGCCATGACTTGCTCCAGGATGTCTACACATGAATAATTACAAGACCTGTAAGATTAAACTTTTTATTTTATCCAGAGAAGGCTGGGGTGTAAAAGGAAAAGATTACATTGATTTCCCAAATCAATGAACACACTCGTACCAGATGAATGTTGACCGTAATGTGCCATGATGTGCTTTCCAATTAGCGTTCATAAGTGTCCTGCAGTCACAGCAGCAAGAAGGGCCTTTCAGAGTTTAGTGCAGTTTCCCCTCATGACATCAAAACACGGCAGGACGAACATGTGACACACCTTTAATCTAAATCTTGAAACTGATCATGGTGGTAAGGAATGCAAATGGGCAAGGCTTTGCTGCGTCCAGCAGGAAATGAAGGTTAAACTTCTCTGCCATCTACAGAAGCGTGGTCCTAAAATGAGCCGACTTAAACTTCAGCTTCAGAATAACGGATGAAATCGATCATAAATGACTCGAACCTGATTTCAACTTTTTCATCACATTAGCTTTATACATGCATCCCATTCTGGATGAACAGTGCATTCATTACACAAAAGTACAGGGGGGAAAATACTGCTTTAACACTATACATTTTCTAAAATATATACAGAGTAAAATAAGTTACGCTTCCATAATGAGCCGTAGCTAATCTGCACTCGTGTGCAATAAATGCATTTGTGTGTGAGCGTTTCTCAGCTCTCCCAACATTTATCACACAGTCAAGAGTCTGAAGGCATCTACTTATTTGGTTAGAGTGAGTTTTGACCTGTAGCAGAGGACTCCTCACAAAGCAAACATTTGTCTTTATACACTCCCTGAAGGCAAGAGTCCTCTTTACATGTTAAATATCTTAACATTTACAACCTAACATGTTAGTTCTAATAAAAAATAAATTTCTCCAAAACAAAAATATTTTTGCAGTGCTCTTCTCTTTCGAGCATGCATTTGAAAATGTTAAACATGATTTTCCTGCATTTACTTATGAATCTTGGTGTATCCTCAAACGTTACGCCCCGCTGGGACTGCTGGACATGCTTCAACAGCAGCTCATAAGCCGGACCCGAGGGGAGCAAAAAGAAAAAGTTACCACACTGCGTCCCGTTTTTCCTCTTCTCAGACACACCATCACACGACTTATTGCAGCTGAATTTTACAGGTTGGCTTAGTTGGGGAAAAGATAGCTTTAAGCACTCATACAGGTAATATAGTCCGGTATTCCCACGCATCCTTTAGCCCTTTGTATGTGGAGTCTCTCCTCACCCCCTCAAACCCCCACAGCTGATGTGACACATGTAGAGGGGAGGTATATCTGTCCAGTTGGGTCCAGCCTGCAGCATCACAGTCCAGTGCTAACCATGGTGCTGTGGGTCTGGCAGGCCTGGGCCTGACTCAGAGCCTCACGGATCTGCAGGTTGAGCTCCATGAGGCGGCTGCTTGCCTGAGACAGGTCCCTGCTTGGGCCCACCACCGCCAGACAGCCCGTCTGGCCCAGCGTTTGGTGGCGGAAGTAGATGTGCAGAAGAGTGTGAACGGCGTTCTCCGTCTCGTTTCCAAAGATGTCGTTAGGCCACAAGGACCTAAAGATGAAGCAAATAATAAAACATTTTTTAAACTTAATACCTAGATGTTTTACATTTTAGGTTTATTTTTTGCATTTTGCCCATAAGGTGTTGGGTTTTAACATCTGCAGAACATGATCAACTTTTCCGTAAAACACAAAGAACTCTGCTTTATACATGACTAAATTAAAAATATTCACCACTGTATGTTTCAAACCTTTGCCAAACCGTCTTCATTTAGCTTAAAAAATAAAAATGAGTACTACATATGGCACATTATTAGGGGTTGAACGAGTATATAATTTTTAAACTCGACATTAACATAATAAAACCCGAGTAGAACTCGAGTATTTGATGACGTCATAGATCTCAAGATACAAAAATAAATAAATAAATAAAACTGCAAAAAAAAGGTAATTATTTACAAAAAAAAGACCAACAAAACATTGGGAGTGTATATCATGCTCCTACCATTCATCATACTGCAAATAAGTCACAGGAAAACTAAACTATTAGTTATTATTATTAAACTGCAAACGTGAAGAAACATGCAGCACATCAAAAACGAAACTTAAACCGAAGCTGGTTCTGGTTCGGTGTTCCACCATACTCTGTGACCTGCAACAGTGCAACACCGCCCCCTACGGTCATACGGTGGTCACATAATATGACGTTACTACGGATACTCGATGTTAAATTTTTAACCTCGATAGATGTCCTAGCAATCGATGTGTAGATGACTTGAGTACTCTGTTAATGCCCTACACATTAGACGCTCGTCAACAAACGGCAATCTATAGCAGACGAGCAAAGACCTTGACCTTGGTGATGAAAAGTGTATGCAGCAGTCTGTTTAGTGATTATGTGTATGAAGTTTCATTACATTTCTCTGAGTGGATCAGAAGTTAAGGCCCTGACAGGACAAAGTTTCTGGACATAGAACGTATGGACAGAGACTAGATGTCCACCTTTGATGGGTGTATAATAAAGTGACAAATGACAGTAATGCTTTCAGTGTGGGCAATAAATCTGATCAATGTCAAGCGTTTCAATTTAATAAATCAGAAATTAGTCTGTAAGCTGTTCAAACTATAGCAATATGAAAAGTTTTAAAAGCAGCACAGTTTCGTTCTTTATACAATATGAGTACGTCCAGTGGTTAATTTGAGCCGGAACAAGATCCGGGATCTCCCTCATTTTGACAGGCTGTGTTCTGGCAACTGTTTGCTTGGATCTGGCAACTCAAATCTCCGCTCCTAAAAGTCCAAAGTCATCGTACATTTTTATTTTGATTATTTATTAAAAATACGAGAGGAGATGTTGCCCAGTCTGTGGAGTGGCTGTTCCAGCTGCACCACATGCACCAGCTAGCGCACATGTTCCTGCCCAACGGAGACGCAGACCGTATGTCCCACGGGGAGCATCTTCATATCCACCTTCAGCTGTGCACCCTGCAGACAGTGCACGCTTTACGCACAGGAGCGTCTCCAGACAGCTCTGCAGAGTGCGCACAACTGCTGATGTGTCGGAAGCCCTGCACATACACACACAGCTGAAGGTGGATATGAAGACGATCCCCACGGGACATGCGGTCCGTGTCTCTGCTGGGCAGGAGCATGTGCGCAAGCTGGTGCATGTGGTGCGGCTGGAACAGCCACGCCACAGACTGGGCAATGTCTCGTCTTGTTGTATTTTTAATAATCAAAATAAAAATAAAAATGCACTATGACTTTGGACCTTTAGGGGTGGAGATTTGAGTTGCCGGATACATTTCAGACAAATAAAAAAGCTTACAGTAAA